TTTTCAAGTAATTTCCGACTTAGGTTGACCCTGAGCAAGGGCCGGGTAAATGACCTTGGAAGGCTGTATCTGGCCCCCGGGTCTTAGTTTGAGGATCCCTGCTGTAGCCTATAAGAATTGATAATTTTTTACTATAGGAATAGAGTACACTTATGATTAATCCATTTGTTCACAAATTGTTTCAAATCTTTTTGTTAGAAAACTCTTTGTCTTTTTTTTTCCAAATTCACTGAAAAATATATGTGCATATTACAGCTAATCATGATGTTTAATCTGATTTGGAATTAGGAAGAGAAATAGGCAACTGCCAATTACACATGAAAAAGAAGGTCTTAGGATATTGTTTCATAGCAAATATGGCAAAACACAATTTTTAGTCATGGAGAAATATATCTGAACATATTTACAGAATTCTCATAAATATATGGTAATCAATATACATACTTAAAAATATTGTTCCTTTAGGGGGAAAATAGATAAACAGTAGCAAAATGAAGGTGAAAAGGGTTTTGGCAGGCAATTTTTTAAAAAATATTGGAAAAAGACAATGGAACATTTGTAAAGTCAGTAAATATTTCATAATAAATCATTATGCCACAAATATAATTTTGTCAGTAGTTTGTCTGGTGATACTGCATCATCATAATCATCATTTTTTTCCCCACAGACATTCCTTGCCACCTATTCAGCCTGTTAAATTTCCAGAGAAGTGATTTTCCTGGTTGGAAAAAACCCTGACATTGTTTTGGCAAGTTATATTCCCAATATGGCATATTTCAAACTGATGGAGTCAACCATGTAAGTAGAATATACTGATTTACATTTCATAATTGTTACTGTTTTAATGTGATCAAAGTATTATCATCATACATTTGAAAATATTGTGTATCTCAGAACATCATAACTCTAAGTACACCATTTGGAAAGAGTTCTAGTTAAGATGTTCTAAAATTGTGTTAAAAACAGTGACGCAAGATAGGATGCAAAAGGAATATTAAGTCTTGTAGAGAACTTGTTTTTTTTTCAATTTTTTCAGTTGATACACTACAAGCTTATAACACAGCCATTTGATCAAGAGACCACTGTAATGGGAGTGTATACAGTTTAAATAGTGGGTAGAAAATGATTACTTATAAATATCTCGGCTAAATGCTACAAGATTATGGAATAGCACTTATCACACAGAAAATACTGGATTAGTAACCAGATGCACCCAGAAAATGACACTTCTTCCTTTATGTTTAATGCTACCAGCCAATTCATATTGATGACTGACATCAACTTAAAAATACAGTCAACTGAGATCACCTAGCAATGTTCAACATGTGTCTAAAATCTGTCCTTCTGATAGCCTGCATTAGGCATGCTTTAGGAAACTTTTATTCTACCTTTCTTTCTTTTTAAAGTATTTCAAATTTTGTTGGTTTAAAAGACATGCTTTACAATATCACCTAACCTTTTTGCTTCAACCATATCAGTAACAATGGAGTGCCGGAGTGTTCTTTGTCAATACTGAACATAAAAAATTGGATTTTCAGATTTTAACTTGGCCGCAGCTAGCTCACCTAGATGATTTGTTCAAAAAATGAAGCAATTATTTGGCTTTGAAAACAACTTGACTAACTGGATTGTTGTAGATTTTTTCGGGCTATATGGCCATGTTCTAGAGGCATTCTCTCCTGACATTTTGCCTGCACCTATGGCAAGCATCCTCAGAGGTAGTGAGGTCTATTGGAAATAGGAAAATGGGTTTATATATCTGTGGAATGACCAGAGTGGAACAAAGGACTCTTGTCTGTTGGAGCTAGGTGTGAATGTTTCAACTGATCACCTTGATTAGCATTTGATGGCCTGACAGTGCCTGGGGCAATCTTTTGTTGAGAGGTAATTAGATGTCCCTGATTGTTTCCTCTCTGTTGTTTTGCTGTTGTAATTTTAGAGTTTTTTAATACTGGTAGCCAGATTTTGTTCATTTTCATGGTTTACTCCTTTCTGTTGAAATTGTCCACATGCTTGTGGATTTCAATGGCTTCTCTGTGTAGTCTGACATGGTGGCTACCAGTATTAAAAAACTCTAAAATTACAACAGCACAACAACAGAGAGGAAACAAACAAGGACATCTAATTACCTCTCAACAAAAGTTTGCTCTAGGCACTGTCAGGCCATTGTATGCTAATCAAGGTGGTCAGTTGAAACATTCACACCTAGCTCCAGCAGACAAGAGTCCTTTGTCTCACCCTGGTCATTCCACAGATATATAAACTCTTTTTCCTCTGAGGATGCTTACCATAGATACAGGCGAAACGTCAGGAGAGAATGCCTCTAGACCATGGCCATATAGCCCGAAAAAACCTACAACAACCCAAGATACATATGTTTGAAGTTAATATAATGAAAGAAATGCTATTTTGTCTCTATGCATCACTTTTACTACCATCTATAATTTGCTGCTATGTGTTCTTATTGTGGAAGTGCATAGAAAATTATTTTTCCAGTATTTGTGGTAACCTTTGTTCACATATAATTTCACTACTGTGTGCTTAGAATAAAAAACTCTATGGAAAAAAACATTATTCTGAATTAAAAAGCCATTAAAAAAATTCCATGTATAAACTTGATGGACATTTTCCTATCTTAGCTGGTAAAAAGGCACCTAATTTTCACAGAAATGAGACTTGCCTGCCTTATTATATCTGTTTTCTGCAGAAGAAGACAGTAAGAGCCAATCACATGAATCAGCATAGTCCCACAGTCTAAAATATGAAGCAATTTCCATGTCCATAGTCAAAACATAGGATCAGTTCAAATGTATAAGGAGGGAATACAAATATTAATAAAATTTCTTTCTCTCACAAGAGAAGTTGGTATAGCTCCTTTTTGTTACTGAATTCACAAAATGATGGTTTATGTTAACTCACCTTGGTTGCAATCATATTCATGCTTATGTCAAAATAAGTACTACTAATTTAAATTAGATTCACATCTGAGTTGGTACACATTGTTAATATAAATCATGGTTTGATCCTGGTTTTGTTCACAAGTAAAGAAGAGTTGCAATTCAACTAAAGGCAGATGTTTCCAATCTCTTACTGTGAGCAAAGAGGCAGCAGGTCAGAATGACTGAGCCCACAATTTACTGGAACTTCCTCTGGTAGTAAGATACTATGCTTTCTTTATATTTGAATCAACTTCAAACCAGACTAGAAAATAAGCAGGAAGCAATTTCTCCAAAAGCTGCATTTCAAATATAAACTTAAGGAAGCATTCAAAAATATCATATGTATGTTGGAACATGAAGCACGGATTGTCTAAATACAGACAAGATCTGACCCATTGTATAAGGAAGTGGTTCTCAGCCTATGGGTCCCTAGATGTTTTTGCCTTTGACTCCAAGAAATCCTACAGCTGGTAAACTGGCTTGGATTTCTGGGAGTTGTAGGCAATATCACTGGAATAAGGCATTCATCTCATCTTTGGGTCTCACCTTTCTAGTGCCCTACATTCTAGAAAAAGGCCTGATGTTTAGCAGGCATATAGCTGGGGGGGAGGGGTTGAGGGGCTTCAGCCCCCCCCCCCCAGAAATTCTCCGGGTGGTCCGTGGGAAGGCCTTACTGGTACATTATTTAAACTGGGTTGTTGTAGGTTTTTTCAGGCTGTATGGCCATGGTCTAGAGGCATTCTCTCCTGACGTTTCGCCTGCATCTATGGCAAGCATCCTCAGAGGTAGTGAGATCTGTTGGAACTAGGGAAAAGGGTTTATATATCTGTGGAATGACCAGAGTGGAACAAAGGACTCTTGTCTGTTGGAGCTAGATGTGAATGTTTCAACTGACAACCTTGATTAGCATTTGATGGTCTGGCAGTGCCTGGTACAATCTTTTGTTGAGAGGTGATTAGATTTCCTTGTTTGTTTTCTCTCTGTTGTTTTGCTGTTGTAATTTTAGAGTTGTTTTTTTTTAAATACTGGTAACGGCGCTCCATGCAGTCATGCCGGCCACATGACCTTGGAGGTGTCTACGGACAACGCCGGCTCGGCTTAGAAATGGAGATGAGCACCACACCCCAGAGTCAGACATGACTGGACTTAATGTCAGGGGACAACCTTTAACCTTTAGCCAGATTTTGTTCATTTTCATGGTTTCCTCCTTTCTGTTGAAATTGTCCACATGCTTGTGGATTTCAATGGCTTCTCTGTGTAGTCTGACATGGTGGTTGTGAGAGTGGTCCAGCATTTCTGTGTTCTCAAATAATATGTTGTGTCCAGGTTGGTTCATCAGGTGCTCTGCTATGGCTGATTTCTCTGTCAAACAATGGACATCTAATCACCTCTCAACAAAAGATTGCACCAGGCACACCCTGGTCTTTCCACAGATATATAAACCCATTTTTCCTACTTCCAACAGACCTCACTACCTCTAGGGATGCTTGCCATAGATGCAGGCGAAACGTCAGGAGAGAATGCTTCTAGAACATGGCCATATAGCCTCGAAAAAACCTACAACAACCCAGTGATTCGGCCATGAAAGCCTTTCGACAATACATTTTAAACTGTTAGTTTATTCATATCATGATCTGATCACCATGCTCAATATATCCCATATGCATGGGGTATTGGGGTAACGATACAAAAGGTTTGCTAGGGTAGACCCTCTTTCACTCAGACTCAGCCCCCCCCCCCCCGAATCAAACTCCCCCCCCCCCGAATCAAAATCCTGGCTACAGGCCTTTAAGTTTAGGTTTACAGTTCTGATCCCATTGTATTATGATGGATAGGAAGAGCAATAATGAATGCTGACAACGGGAAATAAAAAGGAACAACACTAGAAACAGATCTGCTCACTTATTTACCCCTTACTTTCTCCCATTTTTCTTTCATTGGCAGGCACAAGAATATTCTGCCCATTTATACAAAATAATTAAAGTTAAAATAAATGTGAACAGCCATTGCTCCAAATCTTAGCAATCATGTTAATCCTAAACCACTTTTAGACTATCCTAATTTGAGGTAGAACATTTTATTTTTATTTTATTTATTTAATTTACATACCACCTTGTGGACAGAGTGGGATCCAAGGTGACCATTTTTTCTCCCAATTAGTTAGAAAAGCTGTCCAATAATTCTGAAACATTTTCATTTGGTAAACATCAATCCAACACTCAGTGCGAAAACTGTAGGAGAACCACGTCCTCTCTCATATTGTAGCATCTCTAGGAATGTGAAGTCTTTCCTTTTTTTTAGCATTGGGAAAAAGTTGTTGTGTCCACGCTCCATTCGGGCCTGTGGCATCTACTGCAGGATCAATATGGTCATCCGGTATCATCCATCTCAAGAATACAAGGAAAAGAAAGCTAAGCACAGCCAAAACAGCAAAAATACAGCCTGTCACAGGGCCACAGTGAGAGATAAGCCTGTCAAGCCGTTTCGACATTGGCAAGACAGTTTCACTTCCCACTCTGTCATACACCTAAGAAAGAAAAAAATAGCTGTAAGATTTCTCTACTGCATTTAGTCTGTCTCACCTAACAGTCTACCACTTGTAATATTGATTAGAAAAAGGTAGAGAAGGAAGGAAGGAGAGAAAGAGGGAGGGAAAGAAACAAGGAAAGGGAGAAGGAAGCATGGAAGTAAAGAGAGAAGGAAGGAAGGAAGAGGTAGAGAAGGAAGAAAGGATAGAAAGAGGGAGAGAAAGAAACAAGGAAAGGGAGAAGGAAGCATGGAAGTAAAGAGAGAAGGAAGGAAGGAGGTAGAGAAGGAAGAAAGGATAGAAAGAGGGAGGGAAAGAAACAAGGAAAGGGAGAAGGAAGCATGGAAGTAAAGAGAGAAGGAAGGAAGGAGGTAGAGAAGGAAGAAAGGATAGAAAGAGGGAGGGAAAGAAACAAGGAAAGGGAGAAGGAAGCATGGAAGTAAAGAGAGAAGGAAGGAAGGAAGGAAGGAAGGAAGGGAAGGAAGGAAGGAAGGAAGGAAGGAAGGAAGGAAGAGGAAGGAAGGAAGGAAGGAAGGAAGGAAGGAGGAAAGAAAAAGGGGGAAGGAAAGTTAAAGAAGGAAGGAAGGAGAGAAGGAAAGAAAAAAGGGAAAGAAGGAAGGAAAGAGGGAGTGAAGGAAATGGGGAAGATGTAGAGAAAGAGGGAGGGAAGGAAAGAAGGAAAGAGAGAAGGAAGAAAAGACGGGAAGGAAGGAAGGAAAGAGGGAGTGAAGGAAGGAGGGAAAGAAGGAGAGAAAGAGGGAAGGTTGGCCACAGCAACACGTGGCGGGTATAGCTAGTTTCAAAATAAAACAGATACAAATACAATTACATTAATTGAGGCATTGGTAGGTTCAATGCTTTTGAATATTTACATAACACTGTAATTTAAGATAAGACTGTCCAACTCTGATTCTAAGCTTCTTCAAGGAAATGTGCTTATGTATCCTTCCAATAATAATAAAGAGAGTAACATAATAAATGTAATAATAATAATAATAATAATAATAGAGTAAAATAATGGAAATGTAATAATAACAATAGAGTAAAATAATACATGTAATAATAACAACAATAAAGTAAAATGTAATGTAATAATAGAGTAAAATGATAAATGTAATAATAATAATAATAATAATAATAATAAATAGAGTAAAATAATACATGTAATAAAAATAACAACAGAGTAAAATAATAAATAACCTTGACCCGAGTATAAGCCGAAAGGAACATTTTCAGCCTATAAAAAGGGCTAAAAACTAGGCTTATACTTGAGTATATACAGTATGCTCTGTTCCTCCTCCAGTCTAAAAATATTTAGCTGGCCTTGCTGACCTCATGAAAATGACACTCTAAAGATGGAGAAAGGTATAGGAGTTTCAAACATGAAAGTTTGCCTACTTTTTCAGTTCTCTTTGCAACGTTTCTCCAAGTATAGAAAGTTTTAACTTTGTTATGTATGACTTCAGGCAACGGAAGTGATCCTGACTTCAGCTGGCTAATAGCTTTTTCCAATCCATTACACAGAGAATTCACAGAAGGTTCACATAAGATTATAAAGTCATCAGGCAACACTTCAGGAATCCCACCAACTTTTGTGCTTACCACCTATAAGGGAAAGAAAAACGTCTTTGTGTTGACAATGATATCTAAAAATATCAACAAAACTTAAACGTTTGTTTCATCTAAGAAAATAATGTTATTAAAAAAAAAACGCTAGCTGTGAGGTAGGCTAGTTTGACACTATATAAACGCCCAACATTAATGCTTAATAACAGAGAACCTTTCCGGTTCCTGACAAGATCAAACTAGGCAACAAATCTTCAGGTGTTGCTGAACGACTACTCTCATCAGTCCTACCTAGAATAACCAATAGTCAAGGATATGAGAGGGTCACAAAATGCCTACCTGAAGTAGACCCTCAGATACAAAACTGTTGCTTGTTGGCTGTTTTTTTCTCTCTCTCTTCTTTCACCCCCACATTTTCAATCTGTCATTACAAAACATTACTACTTGTGACTTTTTGCTCATTCAGCTTTACTAACCTTAGTCTTCTATAGGTATCTTGTCCTCACACTGTCTTTCTCTTTCTTCTTAAAATCAGTTTTCAAAATGCTCAGGATGGAGCTTCTACTACTAAACATCTTTCCAATCAACACAGTTAGAGAATGCTGATTGTTGGGTTGCTGTGAGTTTACTGGGGTGTATGGCCAGGTTTCGGAAACATACTCTCCTGAGGATGCCTGCCATAGATGTGGGCAAAATGTCAGGAGAAAATGCTTCTGGAACAGGGCCATACACCTCAGAAAACTCACAGCAACACAGTGATTCTGGCCATGAAAATCTTCAACAACACAATGTTGATTGTTTACATATATTAGGACACGTTCCTGTGATTTTCTTCACAGTGGGGGTGATTCTCTACAGTATTAGAAACAGGAAATTTAGTTGAGCCCTGCCCATTAATCGATTCATGGAATAGCCCTGAGCAAGATCATAACTTGTCCTTCTATCTTGCCAATCTGTCTCAGTTGCTGGCCTCTGGATCCCTCTACCACAGCAGGAGAGACAGCTAGTTTCTCATCTTTTGCCTGCTTCCTTCAGATTCTCTTCACCTCCTAACCTCATTAGTGGACTGGCTACTAGAGTTGGATAGGTTGATTCGGAAAAACCTGAAAGTCGGAAGAAAACATACGAATTTGGACTTCAGCTGTAGTTTTGAACCATGCAGGAAAGGGGGGGGGGGGTCCGAATTTGAATCATTTACCTTTTTAAAAAAATATTATATGATGTTTGGATGTCTCCCAATGTTATTTTAATTTTCACAACCATTAAGCAACTTTGGTAAGGTCTAATTTTTTAAAAAAATCTTATGCTTTCCACCAGCGATACAAGGAGGGATGAGGTGGGCATGGCTAATCACAGCCATCTTTAACTGAAGTTTGTGAAGGCCAGGCCCTCAATGGTAGAGATTGCAAAAAGCCCTGCTGTTAAACTACATTTCCCACACTGCCCTGCTGCTCATTAGCCAAAATGGCTGAAGGACCCAATAATAGCTGTCTGTAGCCGTCTTCATCTAAATATAAAATAACGGATTGAATCTACAAAGGTGTCTAAAGAAGGCAGCAAAGCAATAAGCAACTTTTGCAAAGCCAAGAGAACATAAACTGCTTAAAAACCAATCATTTTACTTTTGCCTGATTGCCATGGGCAAAGCACTGGGGTAGCCAGCCCTTTACAGTCAGTGAGTAATGATTAAATAAAATGATTGATTGCATCTGCAAAAAGGAATAAACGGATGGATGTGTCTTGAGGTTCTCCTCCAACTCAGTATAGGAAGCAAATGGATGTCAGGAGAGTTTGGTGCCTTTCTGTCCAGAAGAAGGGGGTCAGTCTAGATGTCTCTTGATGGGGTCTGTACTATGATTTCTGTTCTCCACCAATTTAACACAGTTTGTGCCACACAAACAAAGTGTCTGGAGTAGAACAACTACTTTCAAAGTAAAGGCCACCCAATGAAACAGGAAATAACACTTTCAAACCAGGAACGGGTTTTCTTTATTATTAAAAACATGTTCCTTAATAAAAACTTTGAAAATTTGCCAAAAATCCATGGAGAAGTTAAAGGCTATGAAATTTGGTCAGCTAATAGTGGTCCATGTATTCTATCACTGTAGCAGGTTTCCTCAGGATTAGTCTAAAAACGAGGGAGGGAGAATCCCCTGAAGTTTCCCCAGTGCCAGTGCTGTTTTTTTCCTACTGCGTATGTGCATCCGCATTAACGGAAGTTTCAATTTTCTAAAAAAAAATCGGAAGTGACTTTAGAATCGAACCACCACCGTCCCCTACATCCAAAATGAGTTTTGAACCATTTTTTTTATCAACCAAGCCTACTGGCTACAGACAACTGAGGTCAGGCACTGAATATCTGGAGAAGGCAAAAACCAACTGCAGTAGAGGGATCCTTGACCCATTTGTCTTCTCAGGAAAGGTAAAGAGGAGGAGGAGGAGGAGGAGAAGGAGACAAGCTTGTAGAGCTTGTTTCATACCTTTTGCTTACCTTTCTTCTCATCCTCTTCACCACTCCATCTCATTTACAGGCCAACTACATACGACCAAGCATGAGAAGAGTGAAGGGGATAGGCACTACTTGTATGCTGTCCTTGAATGGTCTACAGCAGGGGTCCACAAACTTTTTAAACAGAGGGCCAGGTCACAGTCCGTCAAAGTATTGGAGGGCCAGATTATAATTTGAAAAAAAAACCCCATGAATTCACACTGCACATATCTTATTTGTAGTGAAAAAAAAACCACTTAAATGCAATACAATAATTAAAATGAAGAACAATTTAAACAAATGTAAACATTAGTATTTCAATGGGATGTGTGGACCTGCTTTTGGTTGATGAGATAGGATTGTTGTTGTGTGCTTTCAAGCCGTTTCAGACTTAGGTTGACCTTGAGCGTGGGCCAGGTAAATGACCTTGGAGGGCCGTATCCAGCCCCCAGGCCTTAGTTTGAGGACCCCTGGTCTACAGCAAGAGCTCAGTCAGTCTGGAAAGAGCCTACCGTAAAAGAAGCACGGGCCACTTCTTAATTCCTCGCTGCAACAGGGAAGCACCAAAAAGCCGTTGTGCCACTATTTTTTCAAACTGACATTACAAAAGGCTCGAACCAGTGCCAGAATGGACAAGAGAAGCTGCATTGACCTGTGTATAAGCTGACCTCATTTTTGGGGTCACTTTTTGGTAACCCCTCCCCCAACCTTCCAATGATTAATACACAAGTAAAAATGGTAATTACTCCAACCACTATTTACAGTTAAGAAAATTCTGCTCCTATTGAAGTGAGATTGAGAGTCTCCCTTAACTAAATCTAACTCAACAAAAATATTTTAAGAACATATCTTTAAATATTTTCTATGAAATATGGATACTGTTTTTTACCTGTAACCCACAACTGGCAGCTTCCACAATTGCCATGCAAAACGCTTCAGTGAGAGAAGTGTTTAGAAAAATATGTCCCTGGACCAAGACATTTCGAACATCCTGATGTTCCAAAGCACCCAGAAGACGAACTCTGCATAGTTATGGGAAACAAAATTTAAAAGTAATATTTATAGACATCTACCTGACATGGAGCATGATTACAGCCAATGTTAAACACATTTAGTTTCATTCATATTAATGCAACAAATTTATGAATGTGCATATTGTATTTTGTTTTATTCCTGATACTGTAAGGTCTTTAACTGTGATCCATTGTACCAAACTACAAAGTTGTATTATGCTTTTCAAAAATGCTTTCACTGCAAATCGTAATACTTATAATCAAGCATTCAACCTTAAGTGTCTGAGGAGAGAGCAGAAGGTGAGCTGTGTTTTGGCAGTCATTCTTGATTGATTTTTAAAGGCTTGTGTGGGGGCCTTTGTCTGATATAGGCCATGTACTTTCTTGAGCACATGCTCAAAGGTGGGGCTTGTACTGAGCCACTGACTTGTTTGGGGACAGAAACTGCCTCAGTCTTTGAGATCACTACCTGAGATCTAGCAGCAAACATATTAAGGCCCCTGTAGTCATATCAGTAAGAGTTGAACAATGGATCCACTAATAGGCATTTTACTGTTTTATAGATACTACTTTATTATTAACTAGCTGTCCCCTGCCACCGTTGCTGTGGCCCACTCTGGTGGTCATGGGGGTTCTGAGTGAGAGGTTTGGCCCAATTCTATTGTTGGTGGGGTTCAAAATGCTCTGTGATTGTAAGAGAACTACAAATCACAACAATTACAACCACCAAAACCACTGCTCTGTACAATGAAATATACTATGTTGTATCCCTTATTCAAAAAAAGACATTGGAATACTTGCATAATCATGATGAGATAGCCTGGAGATGAGACCTAAATCCAAACATGAAATTCATTGCTTGGTTGTTGTAGGTTTTTTCAGGCTATATGGCCATGGTCTAGAGGCATTTTCTCCTGACGTTTCGCCTGCATCTATGGCAAGCATCCTCAGAGGTAGTGAGGTCTGTTGGAACTAGGAAAGGGTTTATATATCTGTGGAATGACCAGGGTGAGACAAAGGACTCTTGTCTGCTGGAGCTAGGTGTGAATGTTTCAACTGACCACCTTGATTAGCATACAATGGTCTGACTGTGCCTGGAGCAAACTTTTGTTGAGAGGTGATTAGATGTCCTTGTTTGTTTCCTCTCTGTTGTTGTGCTGTTGCAATTTTAGAGTTTTTTAATACTGGTAGCCAGATTTTGTTCATTTTCAAGGACGTCTAATCACCTCCCAACAAAGGTTTGCTCCAGGCATAGTCAGGTCATTGTATGCTAATCAAGGTGGTCAGTTGAAACATTCACACCTAGCTCCAGCAGACAAGAGTCCTTTGTCTCCACCCTGGTCATTCCACAGATATATAAACCCATTTTCCTAGTTCCAACAGACCTCACTACCTCTGAGGATGCTTGCCATAGATGCAGGCGAAACGCCAGGAGAGAATGCCTCTAGAACATGGCCATATAGCCCGAAAAAACCTACAACAACCCAGTGATTCTGGCCATGAAAGCCTTCGACAATACAAATTCATTGCTGTTTCATATACATATAAAATATAAAAGGTAATTATATACACACTGTTTTTAATAATTTAGTGCATGAAACAGAGTGCGTGTACACTGAGACATCAGAAAGAAAAGGTATCAGTATCTGGGAATGATTTTGGAGTATTCTGGATTTCAGAATTTTGGATAAGGGATACAGTATCTATTAAAATATTTACATCCCATCGTCTATCACAGGATCTGAGTGATGTAAAAACAAAATCACTGTTAGCAGTTAAAATGCAAGCATTTAAGATCTAAATAGTCTAAAAAGATAGTAAATACTGTAACCAGTTAAAAATGTCAAAGCTATGTGTACATTGTAAAATAAATCAGTAAGGCACAAAATACTTCATTATGGGTTGTTGTAGGTTTTTCGGGCTATATGGCCATGTTCTAGCAGCATTCTCTCCTGATGTTTCACCTGCATCTATGGCAAGCATCTTCAGAGGTTGTGAGGTTTGAGGATGCCTGCCATAGATGCAGGTAAAACGTCAGGAGAGAATGCTTCTAGAGCATGGCCATATAGCCTGAAAAACCTACAACAACCCAGCGATTCCAGCCACGAAAGCCTTCAACAAGACTTCATTATGGTTTTACTTGGCGCCCGAATGAAGCCACCATCAATGCTAGCAATTAGGCCTTCAAGGGAAGGATATTCCACAAAACAGAACATCCTCTCAAGTGCAACACTTAATCTGGCACTATCATAGAAATGTATATGCACTGCATGCCTCTTCTCCTCATAGGCATCCCCCCACCCCACTCCCCATTTCTCCCATCCTTTCAATTAACATATTATCTACATTAAAACAAGTCACACAGGACATACCTGTCATGGAGCTGGTACCTTTCCCGTACCTCTTCTAATACAATTCGCTTTGGCCCTTCTCCTCCAATTAGAAAGTGTAGATCTGGATACTTCTGACAAAGCTCAGGAATTATGCCACTAAGTAAATCTATACCTGTATACATAACATATATATAAAACTTATTGCTATTTCAGTATAAACAGTCTTTTTTATGAAGTGTTTAATTTCGTAAATCAGATTTATAAGAATGAGACATTTGTTAATCTGGAGTCAATATATACAACAGATTCTCAGTTAACCAGAACTCAAGTTCCCAAGCAACTGACAAAAATTGAAGAAATAATACATTAAAAATTATAAACAATTTTAGCAGAAATGTATGTTTACATTAAGTTTGCCTTTATTTGTCTTAATTGGTTTTTAATTACTATATTTCAATAATAACATCAAAACTGAGTTTATGGTATGGTATAGTATGATATGAAATAATACAATATAATTCTATAGAATTGGAATATATACCCAGATTTATGTATTTATTTGTGTCAGGAGCGAATTGAGAAACTGCAAGTCGTTCCTGGTGTGAGAGAATTGGCCCTCTGCAAGGATGTTGTCCAGGGGATGCCCAGATGTTTTACCATCCTGTGGGAGGCTTTTCTCATGTCCGTGTATGGGAAGCTGGAGCTGACAGACAGGAGCTCATCCCACTCCCCAGATTCGAACCACTGACCTTTTGTTCAGTGGTCCTGCCGGCACAAGGGTTTAAGCCATTGCGCCACCGGGGGCTCATTATATCCAGATAAAATACAATACAATATAACATAATGCAAACTCTGATTGTAGGCTAACTATAAATCCCAGCAACTACAACCTTCAAATGACAAATTAATGACACAATAGAAACAGCTTTGAATGTAAATGTCTCTCTCGCTTCATGATCAATAATCATGATAGGTTATTTAAAGGTTTCCTCCATTCAAAGCTGAGGTATACCAATGCTGAAGAGATTTGTTTACTTCTAGCTAATGAAGTAAACATTCATTACTTTTCTTAAAGTACAAATCTATGTAACAATTATTCAGAGTCTTGCTTGTGTGTCTTATGCAACAATCAAGGTCAATTTAAAACATCCTAGATCATTCCTGACATGACACAGTCCAGCCACACCAAAACAAATGCAAGGAAACACCACGCATATGTATTATGGATACGCCTCATCCCCAAAAAACCACTGGGAAAAGAGTGGCCCTAGAACAGTGGTTCTCACCTTCCTAATGCCACGACCCCTTAATACAGTTCCTCATGTTGTGGTGACCCCCAAACATAAAATTATTTTTGTTGCTACTTCATAACTGTGATTTTGCTACTGTTATGAATCATAATGTAAATATCACATATGCAGGATGTATTTTATTCACTGGACCAAATTTGGCACAAATACCCAAAACACCGAAATTTGGTGGGGTGGGGAGTTGATTTTGTCATTTGGGAATTGTAGTTGCTGGGATTTATAGTTTACCTACATTCAAAGAGCATTCTGAATTCCACAAACGATGGAATTGAACCAAACTTGGCACACAGAACTCCCATGACCAACAGAAAATACTGGAAGGGTTTGGTGGGCATTGACCTTGAGTTTTGGAGTTGTAGTTCACCTACATCCAGAGAGCTGTTGACTAAAACAATGATGGATCTGGACCAAACTTGGCACAAATACTCAGTATGCCCAAATGTGAACCCTGGTGGAGTTTGGGGAAAATAGACCTTGACATTTGAGAATTGTTGTTGCTGGGATTTATAGTTCACCAACAATCAAAGAGCGTTCTGAACCCCACCAATGAAGAATTGGGCCAAACTTCCCACAGAGAACTCCCATGACCAACAGAAAATACTGTGTTTTCTGGTGGTCTTTGGAGACCCTTCTGACACCCCTCGACCAACCCCCAGGTCCGACCACACATATGGACTGAGTTGGACATGATTTTATCTTGGCGATTTGGCTTATTTGTAATTTTAATCGATATGTATTTTAACTCGTTATTATATGATGTTTTTAGATTGTACTATTAGCATTGAATCCTTGCTGTGAGCCGGTCTGAGTCCCCCTATGGAGGTTAGAGAAGATCAGGATATAAAAGCTCTAAATAAATAAATAAATAAATAAATAAATAAACATAATCATTCTCCCAAGTTGTCTATGTAGCCCTCGGTCCTACAGACCAGCCTTTTTCTACTTCCTCCACCACAACAGACTGGATTGATTTTCCTGGAAGCCTTCAGGCATGACCTTTTAAATACATGAAAAAGTACAAAAAAACCAGCTGGGCCAAAAATAATAAAATTCATTTCAACAGGGATAAATGTATGAAACTACTCTTAAAAAATAAAAGCAAAATGCACACGTATAGGATGGGTGACATTTGAAATCAACACACATGAAAAGAATCTAAGAGTCTTAGTAGACCACATGCCAAACACGAGTCAACAGTGCTTTGAATGCGACTTTCCTGCTTCTTGACAGGGAGTTGGACTGGAGGGACCACAAGGTCTTTTCCAACTCTATGATTCTATGATGCTGCAGCTAAAATAGCCACTAGGCAATTGAAGGGTAGCAGCATTAACATCAATGCGGAGGGAGTGAAAAGAAAGCCCTTCCTCAGCAATTCCCATTCAGATTTCTCTTCGGCCACCAACACATTGAGTATCAGAATCATTGGAATGCGTGGTGGCCTTCATGGCCAAAAAAAAAAAAAAATCTTCCTTAGCCCTTTTCTAGGTATTCTACATATAACAGGGTATTCTCAAATCAACATGATCCCATGAAGTCAAAAGGTCTGTTTATAAGCTCCACATACTCATTTCAATCCATACAATTAGCAGTCTCATAAGTTTCTGATCCAATTGCAAGTTTTTCCACCAATAACTGCATGGTTTCTATCAAAAGTCTGGAGCCCCCGGTGGCGCAGTGAGTTAAACCCCTGTGCCGGCAGGACTGAAGACCGACAGGTCGCAGGTTCGAATCTGGGGAGAGGCGGATGAGCTCCCTCTATCAGCTCCAGCTCTTCATGCAGGGACATGAGAGAAGCCTCCCACAAGGATGATAAAAACATCAAATCCAGGCGTCCCCTGGGCAACGTCCTTGCAGATGGCCAATTCTCTCACACCAGAAGCGACTTGCAGTTTCTCAAGTCGCTCCTGACACGACCAAAAAAAAAAATCAAAGATCCGACCAGAATCTTAGGTTTATAATTAAGTAAAACTACAAAACCTTAAAATCAACTGCCAAATGACTTAAAGAAGGGGTCCTCAAACTACAGCCGGGGGCCGAATACGGCCCTCCAAGGTCATTTACCCGGCCCTCGCTCAGGATCAACCTAAGTCTGAAACAACTTGAAAGCACACAACAACAACAATCCTATCTCATCAGCCAAAAGCAGGCCCACACTTCCCAATGAAATACTAATAAGTTTATATTTGTTAAAATTGTTCTTCATTTTAATTATTGTATTGTTCTAAAGTATTTTTGCACTACAAAGATGATACGTGCAGTGTGCATAGGAATTCATTCTTTCTTTCTTTTTTCAAATTATAATCCGGCCCTCCAACAGTTTGAGGGACTATGACCTGGTCCTCTGTTTAAGAAGTTTGTGGACCCCTGACTTAAAGCATTTATAATGCAAATCACTACATAAGAGTATTTCATTTTTATCATCTCCATAACACGTCAGAGAAAAAGAAACCACACTTAGATGCAGCTTATAAATCTTGTTACCTTTTCTATACACAAGCCTGCTGACAACAACAATAGTTATTGTTTTATTATCCCATCTTGATGCATCTGGAGTGAAGTCAGTAGGATCAACAGCATTAGGGATAACGGAGACTATCTCAGGATTCAGTGCCGCTCTCAACACAGTGTTCTCCTTGCTAGTGTACGAAACACATATTATGTGATTTGTATCACACAGCGATACAGTCAAGAGTTTATTTGTGAGCACTGAACTGACATCAGCAAATCCAAACAGGGAATGGTCTGTAAAAACCGTCCTTAGCTGCATTGTCTTGGCATGGAAGAGTGCATCGTGAGCCATAGCGGAAAAGGAACTATGGGCATGGATGATGGTGACTTTTTCCCGGACAAATATATACCTGAGCAAAGGCAAGCTGTGGAACAGAGTTGTTGCTGTAGACTGGTTGTACATAACTCTTAATGGCAAATAGTAGACTTTCAATCCATTTGTGAGGTATCGAATGCCTTTCCGGTCTTCGTAAGAATGGGTGACTATGATCACTTTGTGTCCTCTTTCAATCAGGCACTGTGACAGTTGGTAGATGTGGCTTTCTACTCCTCCCATATTCGGATAAAAAAAGTCAGACACCATGCATATACTATGGCTTTGACACGGGTGTGTTGAAGGCTTATGAGAGTTCACAGTGGGAGAGGATGTGGAGGAGAGAAATTGTCTGTGATTTCCTCTCCTTCTACTGGCCATATTAGATAAGCAATCCATCTACGTGACAGCCATTCAGTATGAAGAACAGGCCCCATTCAATACCTGTGACAGCAAACAGAGTAAAACGTATTACATCATAAAACTCAAAACCCCTGCAGGTATCTTTAGGTAAAATTACAACATTTAGCTGTACAAGCCTATGCATGCTTATTTAGAAGTATACAACACCCTGTTCAAGAGTTGATTTTCACCTCTAGTGAGTGGGTTAGATTCAGTCATACATACAGAAGGCCCATTACAATTATTGGGGGTTATTTGAAGTATATGTAATAAAAATGGTTTCAAAAGAAATTGACAATACAAAAACAATTTTTAGTCTTGCTTTAGAGTTCCAACTGGGTTCTAATTATTACTATACTGCCTATTACAGGGAATACCAGCTGATCCTTAATCCATCTAAAACACAGACATGTGCTTTTCACCTTAAGAACAGACAAGCATCTCGAGCTCTGAGGATTACCTGGGAAGGAATCCCACTGGAGCATTGCAGCACACCCAAATACCTGGGAGTCACCCTGGACCGTGCTCTGACCTACAAGAAGCACTGCCTGAATATTAAGCAAAAAGTGGGTGCTAGAAACAATATCATTAAAAAGCTGACTGGCACAACCTGGGGATCACAACCAGACACAGTGAAGACATCTGCCCTTGCGCTGTGCTACTCTGCTGCTGAGTATGCATGCCCAGTGTGGAACACATCTCACCACACTAAAACAGTAGATGAGGCTCTTAATGAGCCATGCCGCATTATTACGGGGTGTCAGTGTCCTACACCACTGGAGAAATTACACTGTTTAGCTGGTATTGCACAACCTGACATCCACCAGGAAGTAGCGGCACTCCAAGTAAAGGCACTCCAAGTGGCCAGCTACTGGTCAGCGAGTGTCTCTGTAGATCTTAGAAAACTATTTCTTGATTTAAGTCATTGACGTGCTGGCTGATACCCAAACAAGGGATGAGCTGGAGATGTCACTGCCTTGGTCCTTTCACTATTGGTTGCTACTTCCGGATGTCAGGTGGTGCAATACCAGCTAAGCAGTGTAATTTCTCCAGTGGTGTAGGGCGCAGACACCCCATGATAATGCGGTATGTCTCATTAAGAGCCACATCTACTGTTTTAGCGTGGTGAGATGTGTTCCACACTGGGCATGCATACTCAGCAGCAGAGTAGCATAGCGCAAGGGCAGATGTCTTCACTGTGTCTGGTTGTGATCCCCAGGTTGTGCGAGTCAGCTTTCGTATGATATTGTTTCTAGCGCATTTTCGAACTGCTAGGTTGGCAGAAGCTGGGGATGACAGTGTAAGCTCATGCCGCTCCCCAAATTCAAACCTGCAACCTTTCAAGTCGACAAGCTCAGCACCATAACCCACTGCGCCACCGGGGCCCCCTCATTTATATAGTACCTCTGAGGATGCTTGCCATAGATGCAGGCGAAACGTCAGGAGAAAAATTGCCTCCAGAACATGGCCATATAGCCCGGAAAAACCTACAACAACCCAAAATAAATTGAATAGATATAAAAAAGGATAATACATTCTCTCCCACAGAGAATTATGTGTCATGTTCATTCCTCCCTAACTTGAGCCCCTTCCACACAACTGAATAAAATCCCACATTATCTGCTTTGAACTGGGATATATGGCAGTGTGGACTCAGATAACTCAGTTCAAAGCAGATATTGTGGGATTTTCTGCCTTTATATTCTGGGTTATATGGCAGTGTGGAAGGGCTCTGGCTGTCAAACAAAAAACACCACAGGGCAATGCTAGCACAAAATTAAGCTCAGACAGCACAATATGAGGGATCTCTTTGCTTACAGGAAAGCAGTACTTTGTATAAAGATGATGATAAAGAATTGGGTCATCTTAGGGCCCATCTGCACTGATCATTTAATGCAGTTCAAAGACAAAAAACTGTGCATTGAGCTGCTTTTTTTCCAGTAGAAAAACATATTGAGAAAGCACACATCCTGTTCTCATTCTTACTGGAGTGTTTCACTAGTAAACCCAAAAGGAAACTCAGGGACTTCTCCCTCTGCTCCGCCCCACGCGGTCCCTCACTCACCTGCCGGCGGAGTCTGTCCCACTTCCGGGTTCACTCCAGGCGGGAGTCGTCTTTCGTCACCGTAGCCCCGCCCACTCGGCCCCGCGAAGATTTCCGGGTGTATAATGACCCAACCAGGCAGAGGAGAACTGGTGGTGCACGTGACCGGAGAAGAGCCAATCCGATTGGGCTAAATTCAGGCAGGGTCTTCGAAGGGAACAATTTTAACAAATATAATAAACTTATTAGTATCTCAATGGGAAGTGTGGGCCTGCTTTTGGCTGATGAGATAGGACTGTTGTTGTTGTGTGCTTTCAAGTCATAAGGAGCGGCTTAAAGAGCTGGGCATGTTTAGCCTGAAGAAGAGAAGGCTGAGAGGAGACGTGATAGCCATGCATAAATACTGTTGAGAAGCACTGCTCTAATCTGTTAAAATCGTTTGGAATTCTGAATGTAAGATGAATGTATTGCCAGCTCTGTGAGTCTGATGGGGAGGTAGAACTCCAAAGGAGGCGATTCTGTCCCTTTAAGAGACGATTCTCTCCCTTAAAGGAACAGTAGCCCATACTTTTTACCTCTCAGTGTGATGAGGCGGGGCAGCTGCTGCCAGGTTTCCAGAGCGCCTGCGCGGGGAGAGCAGGGGCCGTGGCTTCTCCTCTCAAAGTGATTTATTTATTTATTTATTTGTCGTGTCAGGGCAGCCAGTCACTTATATTACACTTCTAACAGAACAAAGCAAACAAACATACAAAATACAAAATTTGTGACTTTGGTAGTTGATTAAATGTCCTTTGACCAATAGCTGACCACTGGGAGTGCTTCTGGTGTTGCTGAAAGAAGGTCCTCCATTGTGCATGTGGCAGGACTCAGGTTGCATTGCAGTAGGTGGTCTGTGGTTTGCTCTTCTCCACACTCGCATGTTGTGGATTCCACTTTGTAGCCCCATTTCTTAAGGTTGGCTCTGCATCTCGTGGTGCCAGAGCGTAGTTTGTTCAGCGCCTTCCAAGTCGCCCACTCCTCTGGTATCAGAGTCTCTCATTTGGTATCAGCCATTGGTTGAGGTTCTGGGTTTGAGCCTGCCACTTTTGGACTCTCGCTTGCTGAGGTGTTTCAACGAGTGTCTCTGTAGATCTTAGAAAACTATGTCTAGATTTGAGTCGTTGACGTGCTGGCTGATACCCAAACGGGATGAGCTGGAGATGTCTCTGCCTTGGTCCTTTCACTATTGGCTGCTACTTCCCGGCGGATGTCAGGTGGTGCAATACCGGCTAAGCAGTGTAATTTCTCCAGTGGTGTAGGGCGCAGACACCCGTGATAATGCGGCATGTCTCATTAAGAGCCACAACTACTGTTTTAGTGTGGTGCTGATATCGAGCTCTTTTGTGGGGTTCTCCCAGCGAGGAAGATCCCAGAAGACCGCTAAAGGGGTCTTTGACCTCGGTGAGCAGCCAGCGAAAGCCAATCCAAAGCGCAAGAATATTAAGAATTAATCTCACCAGAGGCTGAAGAGGTTCAGTGACCGAAGCGTTTATTTCTGCGATTCAGCTGAAAAGGATGCGTTACAGGAATGATTCCACTGCAAGCATACAGCACAAGAATTTCCAGGCATTTTTATACAGAGTGAAACAAAGAAAACAGTTTGAAAATCCCGCCCGCCCCCCTGACAGCCGGCTTCACGCTGATTGGCTGAGGCTGGAACAGCTGGGAGGAGGTAATCCCGCCCTCCCCCGTCAGGAGCCAATGGGAGCGTTTTCCCGCCTCGGGAGGGCCAATGGGCGCCCTCCGCTCGCTTCCTAGGTCCTGGCCAATCAGGAGCGAGGAGGCGGGACGAAGTTTGACAGCTCAGGGGGGAAATGGAGTGCCCAGGGGGCATCCGCCAGCTGTTACTGAGCCTTTGTTCTTATCGGCGGGGTGGCAGACAAGGGGAACAATGAGTTTCCCGGTCATGATTGGATTTGGGAGGAAGTATGAAGAAAGGTGGAAAAGGAGCTATTGATGGTATTTGGACCTCGGGGCCTTGTAAACAAGGGGGATCAACAAATACCAAAAATTGAGTTAATCAATCTTTTTTCCTAAGTTTCTGTTGACCCTTCCCGCCCTAGGCTGTCTGCTCTGAAAGCCAGTTTGAGGAAGGGTCAATCATGCGGCCCATGCAGATGTAGATATGATCAGTTTCGAGAGGACAAAGGATTTCCTCTTTGCAGTAATCTTAGGTCACATTCCTTTTTGGGGCGAAGTTCAGAGGGAAAGGCGGGAAGGGGAATCAGGGTACATTTCATATGATATCCCACTATATACATCTTATATACTTCATACATCTCATAAATGAATTCCCATCCCCATCCCAGCAAAGTTTATTAAAAAATAATAAATGTATTTCATTTTTGTAGAAATCATAGTCTTCTTTGGTGAAGGCGCACATAGGCTAAGGCTGCTTGTCCCTCCAGGCTTTGTGTTCAAAGGTATGGCAGGGAAACAGTCCAAGTCAATAGGGCGGAAAGTCAATAAGTGAGGGCAAAAGAGTCCGAAGAGGATTTCCCAACTGTGAATGGTGGGGCAATGTCCTTTGGGAAGCTGCATCTCCCCGGTCGGGGCCCGGGACCCATGTCTGGCCCCCTCTCCGGGGCTCCTACGGGCGACCGCCGTGGGTCCCAGGCTGCTGGAGTCAATGGGGAGCGAGCGCTGCCGCGGAGGAGCGGAAAACCCAGTCAAATTGACAATCAGCTGTTTCTCTGCAAGATAAAATACTTAAAACAAAACTAATTTTTCCCCGGGTGAAGGAGCCCAAAACGAGAAAAGGGAAATGGCAGTTAGTCTTAGAATTAGTTGTAGAAAAATATAAAATTGGAACGGCGGCGATCCGCCATCTTAAGTATTTTCGTGGATAAGGGGGTCTGAAATGGCGGTTTCCGTATCCGCGGTCTAGGCGAACGCAGATTCGGGGTCCGGGGGGCGCCTGGAGGCGCCTCCCGCGGGCCCACGGCTCTCCGGAGCCCAAAAAGGTTTATGGCAATATTATTTGGTTTTAAGTCAAGAAAGGATACAAAAGTAGCATGCGGAAAGATAAAAAGTTGCGAGTTTCAAGTACTTTTATTAGGGAAGGATACAAAGTAAAGGGAAGGGAAAAGCAAGGTGAAACTGCAAGTATTCCTGGTTTTGAGGTAGCTGCTGGGGCACATTTCATCTGTTGGTCCCAAAAGCTTGGTCCAGGAACTGCGGAACTCCCCGCTGCAGCTCACACCAATGTAAAGGCGGGGCTCCCCGCCGCGCTCGAGGTCAGTGAGATGTGTTCCACACTGGGCATGCATACTCAGCAACAGCGCAAGGGCAGATGTCTTCACTGTATCTGGTTGTGATCCCCAGGTTGTGCCAGTCAGCTTTCGTATGATATTGTTTCTAGCACCCACTTTTTGCTTGATGTTCAGGCAGTGCTTCTTGTAGGTAAGAGCATGGTCCAGAGTGACTCCCAGGTATTTGGGTGCGCTGCAATGCTCCAGTGGGATTCCTTCCCAGGTGATCCTCAGAGCTCGGGATGCTTCTCTGTTCTTGAGATGAAAGGCACATGTCTGTGTTTTAGATGGGTTAGGGATCAGCTGGTTTTCCCTGTATAGGCAGTAAGAGCACCTAGAGCAGAGATAGGCAGACCTGCTTTGAGCGGTGATGGCACGATCATCAGCATAGATGAAACTCTCTGTCCCTTCTGGCAGTGACTGGTCATTTGTGTAGATGTTGAACATGGATGGAGCAAGCACACTCCCCTGAAGCAGGCCGTTCTTCTGTTTCCGCCATCTGCTTCTCTGGCCCTGGAACTCAACAAAAAAGCTCCTGTTTTGTATCAGGTTTCCTATGAGGCGGGTGAGGTGGTCGTCCTTTGTGATATTATACATTTTTCTCAGGAGGAGGGTGGTTCACGGTATCATAAGGCGCTGACAGGTCTATGAAGACAGCTCCTGTGATCTGCTGCCTTTCAAAGCCATCTTCTATGTGCTGAGTCAGGTTCAGCACTTGCGATGTGCAGCTTTTGCCTTTCCTGAAGCCAGCTTGCTGTGGAATCAGACAGGGGTCTATTTTTTCCATAATTCTATGCAGAATAAGTCTCTCCAGAACTTTGTAGAGGTGGCACAACAAGGAGATTGGTCTGTAGCTCTTTGGGACATTAATGACCCCTGTCAAAGTGATGAGGAGGGGCAAGTCCTGTCAGTTTTCCACAAAGCATGCGCGGGGAGAGCAGGGGGCGCGGCTTCTTAAGAGGGGCCGGGCAGTGACCCATGCTCTTCCCCTCTCAAAATGATTTCTTTTTTGTCGTGTCAGGAGCGACTTGAGAAACTGCAAGTTGCTTCTGGTGTGAGAGAATTGGCCGTCTGCAAGGACGTTGCCCAGGGGACGCCCAGATCATTTGATGTTTTTATCATCCTTGTGGGAGGCTTCTCTCATGTCCCCGAATGAGGAGCTGGAGCTGATAGAGGGAGCTCATCCGCCTCTCCCCGGATTTGAACCTGCGACCTGTCGGTCTTCAGTCCTGCGGGCACAGGGGTTTAACCCGCTGGGCTTTTCCCCTCTCAAAGTGATGAGGAGGGGCAAGTCCTGTCAGTTTTCCACAACGCATGCGCGGGGAGAGCAGGGGGCGTGGCTTCTTAAGAGGGGCCGGGCAGTGGCCCATGCTCTTCCCCTCTCAAAGTGATTTATTTATTTATTTGTCGTGTCAGAACAACCAGTCAAATTATATTACATTTCTAACAGAACAAAGCAAACAAGCAGATTACAAAATTTGTGAGTATGAGAGTTGATTAAATGTCCTTTGACCAGTATCTGGCCACTTGGAGTGCTTCTGGTGTTGCTGCAAGAAGGTCCTCCATTGTGCATGTGGCAGGGCTCAGGTTGCATTGCAGCAGGTGGTCAGTGGTTTGCTCTTCTCCACACTCGCATGTCGAGGATTCCACTTTGTATCCCCATTTCTGAAGGTTGGCTCTGCATCTCGTGGTGCCAGAGCGCAGTCTGTTCAGCGCCTTCCAAGTCGCCCAGTCTTCTGTGTGCCCAGGAGGGAGTTTCTCATTTGGTATCAGCCATTGGTTGAGGTTCTGGGTTTGAGCCTGCCACTTTTGGACTCTCGCTTGCTGAGGTGTTCCAGCGAGTGTCTCTGTAGATCTTAGAAAACTATGTCTAGATTTAAGTCGTTGGCATGCTGGCTGATACCCAAACAAGGGATGAGCTGGAGATGTCTCTGCCTTGGTCCTTTCACTATTGGCTGCTACTTCCTGGCGGATGTCAGGTGATGCAATACCGGCTAAGGCAGAGTAATTTCTCCAGTGGCGCAGGCACCCCGTGATAATGCGGCATGTCTCATTAAGAGCCACATCCACTGCTTTAGTGTGGTGAGATGTGTTCCACACTGGGCATGCATACTCAGCATCAGAGTAGCACAGCGTGTGATGAGGAGGGGCAAGTCATGTCAGTTTTCCACAACGCATGCGCGGGGAGAGCAGGGAGCGTGGCTTCTTGAGAGGGGCCGGGCTCTTCCCCTCTCAAAGCGATGAGGAGGGGCATGTCCTTTCAGTTTTCCACAACGCATGCGCAAGGAGAGCAGGGGGCGTGGCTTCTTGGGAGAGGCGGGGCAGCGGCCCATGCTCTTCCCCTCTCAAAGTGATGAGGAGGGGCAAGTCCTGTCAGTTTTCCACAACGCATGCGCGGGGAGAGCAGGGGGCGTGGCTTCTTAAGAGGAGCCGGGCTCTTCCCCTCTCAAAGTGATGAGGAGGGGCAAGTCCTGTCAGTTTTCCACAACGCATGCGCGGGGAGAGCAGGGGGCGTGGTTTCTTAAGAGGGGCCGGGCTCTTCCCCTCTCAAAGTGATGAGGAGAGGCAAGTCCTGTCAGTTTTCCAGAACGCATGCGCGGGGAGAGCAGGGGGCGTGGCTTCTTAAGAGGGGCCGGGCTCTTCCCCTCTCAAAGTGATGAGGAGGGGCAAGTCCTGTCAGTTTTCCACAACGCATGCGCGGGGAGAGCAGGGGGCGTGGTTTCTTAAGAGGGGCCGGGCTCTTCCCCTCTCAAAGTGATGAGGAGGGGCAAGTCCTGTCAGTTTTCCAGAACGCATGCGCGGGGAGAGCAGGGGGCGTGGTTTCTTAAGAGGAGCCGGGCTCTTCCCCTCTCAAAGTGATGAGGAGGGGCAAGTCCTGTCAGTTTTCCACAACGCATGCGCGGGGAGAGCAGGGGGCGTGGCTTCTTAAGAGGAGCCGGGCTCTTCCCCTCTCAAAGTGATGAGGAGGGGCAAGTCCTGTCAGTTTTCCACAACGCATGCGCGGGGAGAGCAGGGGGCGTGGTTTCTTAAGAGGGGCCGGGCTCTTCCCCTTTCAAAGTGATGAGGAGCGGCAAGTCCTGTCAGTTTTCCAGAACGCATGCGCGGGGAGAGCAGGGGGCGTGGCTTCTTAAGAGGAGCCGGGCTCTTCCCCTCTCAAAGTGATGAGGAGGGGCAAGTCCTGTCAGTTTTCCACAACGCATGCGCGGGGAGAGCAGGGGGCGTGGTTTCTTAAGAGGGGCCGGGCTCTTCCCCTCTCAAAGTGATGAGGAGGGGCAAGTCCTGTCAGTTTTCCACAACGCATGCGCGGGGAGAGCAGGGGGCGTGGTTTCTTAAGAGGAGCCGGGCTCTTCCCCTCTCAAAGTGATGAGGAGGAGCAAGTCCTGTCAGTTTTCCAGAACGAATGCGCGGGGAGAGCAGGGGGCGTGGCTTCTTGGGAGTAGCCGGGCGGTGGCCTATGCTCTTCCCCTCTCAAAGTGATGAGGAGGGGCAAGTCCTGTCAGTTGTCCAAACGCATGCGCGGGGAGAGCAGGGGGCGTGGCTTCTTGGAAGAGGCGGGACAGGGAAAGGAGAAGTGGTCCTTCTGGCATCCGAGAAGGGCCGTGCCGCCTGCGGGAAGCCGGGGCAGTGGCGATGGGGCCTGCTTCCGCCCGCCGGCCGGCCTCCTGCGCCCGAGGGACCCGCTCCCGCGGCGCCGGCCTGATGCTCCTTCCTTCCATGCTGATGTTCGGCGTGATCGTGGCCTCCAGCGGCCTGCTCCTGATGATCGAGAAGGGCATCCTGTCTGCGGTGAAGCCCCTGCCGCTGCCTCCCTCGCGGGGTGAAGTGTCCTGGCGGAGGGCCCCGGCGGCAGAGGGCGAGGAGGAGGGCGAGGCGGTGCTGCGGGACACCCGCAACCGGACCCTGCGCGCCGTCTGCGGGCAGAAGAGCATGCCCGGCAGCGCCTGGGACCTTCCCGCGGGGCAGAGGAAGACCCTCCTCAAGCACATCCTGGTCAGCGACAAGCACCGCTTCCTCTACTGCTACGTGCCCAAGGTGGCCTGCTCTAACTGGAAGCGCATCCTGAAGGTCTTGGGCGGCGCCCTGGAGAGCGTGGAGGTCAAGCTCAAGATGGACCACCGGCGGGACCTGGTCTTCCTGGGCGACCTCAAGCCCGACGAGATCCGCTACCGCCTCAAGCACTACTTCAAGTTCCTCTTCGTGCGGGACCCCATGGAGCGCCTGCTCTCCGCCTACAGGAACAAATTCGGAGAGATCAAGGAGTACCAGCTCAAGTACGGCGTGGAGATCGTCAAAAGGTACCGGAAGAACCCCGGGAAGACCGCCGGGGACGACGTCACCTTTTCCGAATTCCTCCGCTTCCTCTTGGACGAGGAGCCGGAGAGGATGAACGAGCACTGGATGCCCATTTACAACTTGTGCCAGCCCTGCGCCGTGAGGTACGACTTTATCGGATCCTACGAAAGACTGAAGGAAGATGCCGATTACGTCCTGGAAAGGATCCAGGCGCCTTCTTTCGTACGCTTCCCAGAGCGGCAGTCGTGGTACAAACCAGTCACTCCCGAAACCCTGCATTATTATTTGTGTAACACACCAAGGGACCTTATCGAACAACTATTTCCAAAGTACATACTGGATTTCTCTTTGTTTGCGTACCCTCTTCCAAACATTACGACTGAATCTTGTAGGCAATGAACTTTTCCCATTGTAAATCCTATGCAATTACCCCTGTGAAAATATTCCCTACACCAAGCAGGTACTGGCTTGTTCAGTAGACTCTCCTCTACAGTTATATTCCCGACACTAAAGTCCTTCAGGCCTGTATACTACGAGGGTTATCCCGAAAGTAAGGTTACAAGATGTTTTGAAAATACAAAGAATGAATATATGAGGATTGAATGAAAAGATGGCAGTACTGGTATGCGGCAGGTACTGGCTTGTTCAGTAGACTCTCCTCTACAGTTATATTCCCGACACTAAAGTCCTTCAGGCCTGTATACTACGAGGGTTATCCCGAAAGTAAGGTTACAAGATGTTTTGAAAATACAAAGAATGAATATATGAGGATTGAATGAAAAGATGGCAGTACTGGTATGCGGCAGGTACTGGCTTGTTCAGTAGACTCTCCTCTACAGTTATATTCTTGACACTAAACTCCTTCAGGCCTGTATACTACGAGGGTTATCCGGAACGTAAGGTTACAAGATGTTTTTAAAATACAAAGAATGAATATATGAAGATTGAATGAAAAGATGGCAGTACTGGTATGCCGCAGGTACTGCCTTGTTCAGTAGACTCTCCTCTACAGTTTTATTCCCGACACTAAACTCCTTCAGGCCTGTATACTGCGAGGGTTATCCGGAAAGTAAGGTTACAAGGTGTTTTTAGAATACAAAGAATGAATATATGAGGATTGAATGAAAAGTTGGCAGTACTGGTATGCCGCAGGTACTGGCTTGTTCAGTAGACTCTCCTCTACAGTTTTATTCCCGACACTAAACTCCTTCAGGCCTGTATACTGCGAGGGTTATCCGGAAAGTAAGGTTACATGATGTTTTTAAAATACAAAGAATGAATATATGAGGATTGAATGAAAAGATGGCAGTACTGGTATGCGGCAGGTACTGGCTTGTTCAGTAGACTCTCCTCTACAGTTATATTCCCGACACTAAACTCCTTCAGGCCTGTATACTACGAGGGTTATCTGGAAAGTAAGGTTACATGATGTTTTTAAAATACAAAGAATGTATATATGAGGATTGAATGAAAAGTAATGCCTCCATCTTCGTAACTCCTCAGTAGGCAGTACTGGTATATGGCAGGCACTGGCTTGTTCAGTAGACTCTCCTCTAGTGTTATATTCCAGATACTAAACTCATGAGGACAATCGTTTACATGAGGACAATCGTTTTATACTGTATCTATTTTTATTTCAGTACTAAAATAAGAGTTCAGCCCCTCCCCGAAATGTTTCAGATTAAAGAAAGCCCGGTTTAATTATGAATTAGTTAACCCAGACAGGCCCTATGTCCCAGGACATGACCCCAGGTTTTTGATTTATCCCAGATTATCTGGCAGTGGGGACTCATATAATCCAGGTTAAATCAGAAAATCTGGGGTCAGATCCCAGTTTATATATGAATTGGTTAACTAGGGTCCTTCCAGACAGGCCATATATCCCAGGATATGACCCCAGGTTTATCCCAGATTATCTGGCAGTGCGGACTCATATAATCCAGGTTAAATCAGAAAATCTGGGATCAGATCCTGGGATATAGCACCTGTCTGGAAGGGCCCTGGTTAACCAAAACCGTTTTTTTTTTCTTCTTCCAACCTGAAACATCTCAGGGAGGGGGTTGAACCCTTACACACACACACACACACACCCGTACAGGCCTGAACTCCTTGTTCTATGCGTTGCCTTTACATCAAAAGTAGCTTTAACTTTTGTATAATATGTATATACGCTGCTGCAATGAGCACAATATTTTTTTGAAACTTTGCCCAGGGTGGGAGCATTTGTATGTAGTTCAACTGCAGGGCAGTCAAATTTTGGAATGAAATTGCAATACAAAAACCAGGTAATTTGTGAAGAGGGCTCAAGTATCTGCCTATTTGTGCCATGTCTCAGTGGCATCTACTATATAGAGCTGTCATACGAGGACAATCATTTTATACTGTTTCTATTTTTATTTCAGTATTAAATTAAAGTGACGTTCATTTTTATTTATTGGTTTGAATAGGGGTTTGGAAATTGAAGTATAAAGAGGGGCATAATGTCTAGATCCAGAGAAGTCATGCTACCCCTTTATTCTACCTTGGTGACACCACACTTGGAATACTGTGTTCTATTCTGGGCACATTTGAAGGGAGATGTTGACAGGCTGAAATGTGTCCCGAGAAGGGTGGTTAAAATGATCAAGGGTCTGGAGAACAAGCCCTATGAGGAGTGGCTTAAAGAGCTGGGCATGTTTAGCCTGTAGAAGAGAAAGCTGAGAGAAGCAGCTTTATCTTTCTTACTTACTTAGGTGATCCCTCGTTTTCCAAGTAGGATACTCCTCCAGGGTGGGTCCGTAGGTGACTGTGGAGCCCTATTCTTGATCTGCATCGTCTCCCGCAGTGAGGGCATTGGTTTCCAGGTGGAAGGTGGACCCAGTCGGGGTTGGTTTGATGCACCTTCCTCTCGGCACATTTCTCTCTTTCGCCCTCCATTCATGCCTCTTCAAATTCTGCAGCACTGCTGGTCACAGCTGACCTCCAGCTGGAGCGCTCACGAGCCAAGGCTTCCCAGTTCTCAATGTCTATGCCAGAGCAGCTTTATACATGATGGGGGCCATATATAAAGATGTGAGGGGAAATCATAAGGAGGAGGGAGCAGGCTGTTTTCTGCTGCTCTGGAGACTAGGACATGGAATAATGGCTTCAAACTACAGGAAAGGAGAATCCACCTGAACATTTGGAAGAATTTCCTAACAGTGAGAACTGTTCAGCAGTGGAACTCTCTGCCCTGGAGTGTGGTGGAGGCTCCTTCTTTGGAGGCTTTTAAGCAGAGGCTGAATGGCCATCTGTTGGGGGTGCTTTGAATGCAATTTTCCTGCTTCTTGGCAGGGGTTGGACTGGATGGCCCATGAGGTCTCTTCTAAATCTATGATTCTATGATTCTAAGTCTTACAAAGTCAACCCCCCAGATTCACTGGGGGTTAGGAACACAGGCCCACTATAAAAGTGAAAAACTGTGAATAATAATATAATAATAATAATAATAATAATAATAATAATAATAATAATCTTTGTATTGTCGAAGGCTTTCATGGCCGGAATCCATGGGTTGTTGTAGGTTTTTCCGGGCTATATGGCCATGTTCTGGAGGCAATTTTTCTCCTGACGTTTCGCCTGCATCTATGGCAAGCATCCTCAGAGGTAATGAGGTCCTCATTACCTCTGAGGATGCTTGCCATAGATGCAGGCGAAACGTCAGGAGAAAAATTGCCTCCAGAACATGGCCATATAGCCCGGAAAAACCTACAACAACCCATAATAATCTTTATTTATACCCTGCCACGATCTCCCCCCAACAGGGACTCGGAGTGGCTTACATGGGGCCAAGCCCAAACAACAAACAACAATATAAAATACAAATTGCAGTAAAATAATCAACATAACATTAAGGTATAAAACATCAAGACATAATTTGTTGACATCGCTTTAGGAATTTCTAGGTCTTTCAGTACAACACTATGGTCTACTTCCACTAGAAGCTAGTTATAGAATCAGATTTGAGGACCTAGAGATTCCTAGAGAGGATTCTCTCGAACCCTCTAGGTCAGCCATGTCAAACTTGTGGCCCTCCAAATGTTTGGGCTTCTAATGCCCAGAAGAACTTGTCCAGTGGCCAGGAATAGTGGGAAATGTAGTCCAAAACATCTGTGCGAGGGGGCACAAGTTTGACGCATAGAATCATAGAGTTGGAAGAGACATTGTGGGCCATCCAGTCCAACCCCCTGCCAAGAAGCAGGAAAATCGCATTCAAAGCACCCCTGACAGATGGCTATCCAGCCTCTGTTTAAAAGCTTCCAAGGAAGGAGCCTCCACCACACTTCGAGGCAGAGAGTTCCACTGCTGAACGGCTCTCACAGTCAGGAAGTTCTTCTGCTTATGATGAGATAGTCACACCAGAGGACCTAGAGATTCCAAGATGAATAATCAAAACTCACAAATATCAAAACCTCAGATGTTTAGGGATAACTGTAGACAGGTATGTAGAAGCATAAAGAGGTGGACTCTTTAGGATTGACAGAGTAACCATTGAGAAATTATGCCCCACTGTGTTTACTGGGCCATGTTTGAGCTTTAAGGAGTGCACATTGTACAGCGAGAAGAGCTGGAAAATATGGAAACACTGACAATTGGCCTGCATGACAACCAAAATATTTAGATATTCTAACGTTTGAAAGCATTATTTTAATTGTATTATATTGTTTAGACTTTACAGAAAGGGTATGTTTATATATGTACAGGGTGCAGCAGCATAACTTCCTTTTTTAAAATGTGCACCATTCAGTCGGTTGAAGATGTAGCGGAGCACTAGTGGTCTCATTCGAGAGGCGGGAGTATAAAGTTTTGTCCTGACACAGTTCAGTCACCATCGTGCGTTGGAACAGTGAGAAGCGTGCTTTTGCCGCTGAGGCCTACTTTTCGAGCGGATGTTCTGTGATCGCAACCCAGCGCACCTTTTGGAATCGCTTTAATTTAGCCCCATTTGCCCCTGTCCCGGACCAGAAATCAATTGTGATGTGGGTCACTACATTCAGACAAACTGCAAGTGCGACAAGACGAAGAACTGGAGTCCCTTGGCCCATTAGATCACTTGAGAACATTGAGAGCTTCAGTGTTACGATCATCATGGCGTTCTACGCGCAAACATGCATCTGCCCTTGGACTTTCCAATCGTTCTGTGAGGAGAATTCTTCATGATGATCTTCATTTCCATCCTTGCAAGATGTCGATTGTGTAGGAACTTTCTGAACGTGACTTCAATTCTCGGAGGAATGCGTGTGAGGTTCTTCTTGAAGTCATTCCTGAGGACGCTAATTTTTTTTAGTGATGAAGCCCATTTTCATTTGTGTGTATCCGTCAACAAACAAAACAAGTGCTACTGGGCTGATAACAATCCTTGGGAATTGCATCAAAGGCCTTTGCATTCACCTAAAATCACAGTGTAGTGTGCAATTTCCTCAGCTGGAATTATTGGTCCCTGGTTCTTTGAGGAAAATGAAGTCGCAGTGACAGTGAATTTGGACTGATATGTAAACGTGTTACAGGAATTTTTTCCCCCACGGCTAGATGGGTTGGATTTAGGAGACATTTGGTTCCAACAAGATGGTGCAACTGCAAACACTTCAAGAGCATCGATGGCTGTTTTGAGGGAACCCTTTCCAGAGCACCTCATCTCAATTAGGGGGGATTTGGAGTGGCRGGCCRGCTCTCCAGATTTGGCCCCTTGTGATTTTTTTTCTATGGGTTTTTTTGAAGACCAACATCCAGAAAGAAATTGCCAACATAACAACTGCTATGCTAGCAAGAGTCATGACAAACGCCAGAAATCGGTTTACTCAGTGTATGGAGAGTGGGGGACGTCACCTACCTAATTTGATCCTCAAAACTACGTAAAACAAAACTTTAGGTATGCGCCTACAAAAATTCTGATTCATACAATGGGTTTTATTAAGTTTTGAAAAAAGGAAGTTATGCTGCTGCACCCTGTATGTATATACATACATCAGGAAATTATTAGAAGTTTGATTCAAAGAGTTTAAATTCCTTGATACAGTAGTTTGGCAGGTTGCGATCTTATTTTTATTTTTTCTCTTTCTCTAAATATATGTTTTCCTTGCCAGTTTATTACAATTTAGTATCTTCTTCATTTTATCAGATATATGCCTTGTTAGGTAACATTACAGTGTTTTTAACAAGCTACAAAACCTGATCTCCTGAGTTGAAGAAAAGTTGTTTGTGTTATCTACATGCACATGCTGTCCTCAGCTTTAAATTGTGTTTCTGTTAAAAATAGAGTGGACAATATAGTTCACAAAAGTCTAAATGCTATATGAGCTTTAATAAAGTTTTTATGTATTTTTTCTTGGTTCCAATTTTTATTATGTGTGTTCAAATATGACAGAGATACACAGCTTTTGTAATTTGCAGAGGTCTCTTGTTTTGACATGGTAGTTAAGGAAGCTGATACTATTCAGAGTCTGACAACCTGCAGCCATAATACATAGATCACTTTAGGCCGGAGGTGTCAAAATTGTGACCCTCCAGGTGTTTTGGACTCCCAACTCCCAGAAGCCTTAGCCAGCTTGTCCAATGACCAGGAATTCTGGGAGCTGCAGTCCAAAACATCTGGAGAGTTACACAATTGAGCTACACAATTGAGAGCTTCCTTGGCAGATCTTAGGGCCTGCACCAGTTCACAGGGGGAGATGCGATCACGAAGATAGATTGAACCTGAACCTGTACTTTGAATTGGGCCTGGAAACTTTAAAAAAAGCGTACTTCATCTGTTGTTGCTCTGACATCGGAGGAAGAGAAGAGCCGCTAGGGCATAGTACTTAGAAACAGAGGTTTTCAGGAATGTTAATTTTGCACTTACCATCACATTCTAAGTTTCTGCACGATAGCAACACAGGCAGGACCCTTCTGAAAAGTGTTTTGAAAGGACCATTTAAATGAGTTTATTTGGTAGCAATTCCTGCATGAAACATCAAGTTTCAGCTTTGGTCCTTACCACTTGCCAATTCCAATCAAAGCTTTCTATTATATTGAAGGCTGGAAAAAAAATCTTAAGAAACGTAAACACACAACATTCTTAATTGTTTATAAATGTCCTTTATCTCAAAGAAATTTGCATACAGATCACAAAATGACAGTTTCTCAGAAAACTTGTTTACATCCAGTGGTATTACTTTAAAATGTGAGCATTTTACTGGGTTGTTACTATGGTTGTACAATATCTTATGTTTTCAAACAAAACGTATTTCATTATTTTATTTTTTTCTGGAGCTTGATATACACAGGTTTCAAAAGATATCACAGCAATTATTCTGCCCTTTCTTGAACATGAAACAATTTTATCTAATTATTTCAATTTGATGACAGTATTTGTAAAAAAAAAGCAGAATTACCTGTATTTATGCACAATGTCTCATAACATCTGATAAATACTTCAAAAGTCAATATTTCAAATAATGTGTGCAGTTTGATAAAAGGGACACAGAAAAACTAAAACCCACCCTCCAAACCCTCTTTCGAAGTCACTATTTTTAAAAGTGTAGATACATTATAGCATTGATCATGGATATGGTATCCATAGCCATGCATATTAGCTGAGGCAGTCCTGTGGGCAGATGTGGAAGCTATTTTCTAACTTCTAATCCTAGCAGTCCAACGTTCCTCAAAGAATACTAACAAATGTGGGTAGAAAAATAATAATGGCCATTGTGGTTTTTGTCTAAGCAGCAAAGTCAACATTTTAATATATTTAATGCAGTGTTGATATATGCCGACACATACAGGTTGATTCAAGTAAAGAACAGTTATTCTTTTCTTCTACCATATTTCACTGAGATGAAAGGAAAATCAAAATATAATATAGGTTATACAAAGAACTCAATAGGGATAATTCAAAGATGATCTGAGGTGTCTCCAGATGGACAGCTTCTAACATCACCCAATATAGGTTGTTGTAGGTTTTTCCGGGCTATATGGCCATGTTC